TTCAACGCTCTTCGCTCCTCACTCCTGCCCCTGTCCGCAACAATCTTCCCCCCGATCTGGGTCTATATCTGACTGATCTGGTCGTGTGTTGTGTTGGCGAGAGAAAAGGTGTGTCCGGAAAATGTTGGTCTGGCTGAATATCATAGCGTGGTTGGCCTCGAACAGGGTGGCTGGGGGTCAAGTCTGAATTGAGTCTGGCGACTCAATTTGGGACAGGCAAAGGTGAGATCAGCTTGGTTTTGCTGCAAATATGCAGACTCTTGCGATCACGCGAAAATTGTGGTGAAGGTGAGGAGAGAGGAAAAAACTCGATGGCTGGTAAGATCTGGGTGCGAGGAGTATATGTTGGTTTTTCGGTCGAGGTGGTTGACCAGGCCCCCAAGGTTTTGTGTGGATTCTGACTAGGGGGTCGCGGAGCAAAGCAGCCGGTATGAGTCGACGCCCACGATGAGTCGACGGTGGACACTAGGGTCGATGAACGAGAAGGCTGTTCTAGTTGAAAACTGGGAATCCGTGTCCGCGCGTCTGAAGGTGGATGAACGCGGCTGTGCCTTTGCCCGTTCGGTGCTGGGCTAGTGTCGAAGTTGCTAGAAGAGAATGGGACCAACTGGAGCCAGAATGCTCAAAAGTGGCCAATAAGCCGTGTGGTCAAAGGATTGAAAAGATCGTTGTTGAAAGGGAAATTGATAGCAGCGTAGGGAAATCAGGGGGGGCAATTAACGTTAAAATGGATTTTTTGGGAAGAGGAAGACGATGGCCCAAGTGTGAGTGGATGCCTTTTTAGGTTTGATGGTATCGAAGGGGTCGAAGTGACAAAGAAGGATTGCGAGGTGGATGCAGCGGATGGCTTGACGGCTTTTCCACACTAAGGCTGGTCCATGCTCTTGCTTGGGCGTGTGCCGTGAACCCAACTGTGATGGCTCGTGTGGCAGGGATCAAGGGTTGAGGCCGGTCTAGCGTGCTGCGAAGGAGTGCCCCCTGGCGAGAGGAGAGGGGAATGAGAGGACGAGAGGAAAAGAGCAAGAGGGGACCGCGATGCCCACTTGGTAAGTTCGTGGGACAGAGGGAGTCGTCGGTACAGGTAATATACGGTAAATACTGATACGAGACGAAGGTGGTGGAGGTGCGAAGAAAGAGGCGAAAAAAAATGTGGAAGTACTACTTGTACTTGACGAGTTGAGTTGAATGAGTGGACAACGGACAATCACCCTGTGACAGCCTGCGGATTAGACAACTGTCGCCTAATCAATTCGGAGGTTCCTGACCCTTCTGGTCCGATTGTTGCTGATTAAACAGGAAGAGTACGAGTAATGATGGAAGCGCCAGCGATGATAGTGGCGAGAAAACCTTGAGCCGAGCGAGCGACTGTGCAAAAAAAAATCAATGAGGGGATTTGGAAGAATAGGAAATGAGCGTGGAAGAGAGATTGAAAGAGCGGAGGATGGTCACTCCGAGTCTTGGTTGATGATGATGATGATGCCTGGCCTTAAGGATGTCAATGGCCTCGCTCAGCGTCATACTTGTACTTTGTAGCTGCTTGTACTTGGATAGGTGCTTCTGGCTTACCTGATCGTGGGTGCTTGGGTTAAACCAGGTTAACCAGGTTAACCCTCATGGTTAATGATCCCAGCGCAGCACATGCCCAAAACCCCTCAGCGCTTTACCTAGGGAGTCATGGAAGTCCGTGCTTCACTGCCCCCTTCGTCCGTGGGAGCCGCTGCTTAAGCCCGTGTCCCCGTCTCCTTTTTCATTCTGGAAGGCCTCGGGACGGGCTAGCCATGCCCAGAGCTGCCCTTTTACTTGATGCCCGGACCACTCCTACCCCCCAAATATGATCAATTGACACCGAAAAGGGGTCACGGGAACTGCGCCGCTTCCCTGCATTGTAAGCTTACCCTCGTACAGTCCGCCCTCTGCCCTCCTCATATGTTCTTCCGATCACTGACCGCCGCTTTACCCAACTCTGCTCTTTTTTGCGACCTCCGAGATCTTGCAGAAATAGCATCATCCAACGGATTCATCATCGTCATCATCATCATCGCCGTGTATACGACGCCTCCTCCTTGCTATGGGTGCCTCGATGTAGTCAATTACCTCTCAATATCTATCTACTTGCCCTTCTGTTGGCTCGTGGCTGTGAGTTACTATCAACGGAATGTCTAAAGGGGCCGGAGGGTTCAACGACAGGGTCAAGATCTTGTCAAGTTTACGCCTGACATCAAGTTCTCAACGAGTCTCAAACACCTGCGGGTCACTCGGTTAGGCTCAGCTCTCCAGCAAACTGCTTTGCGAACCAACGGGATCCAATCCATATCAAAGATCTCTAGTGAAGGTTTTCGCCTCCCCTAACCTGGTCCGAATTCTTGACCAAATCTGTCCTGATTGGTGATCCTGCCAGCCAATTGTTGTCCTAACATGAGGTTATTTTTTTGACCGTCATTCGAACCCAGCTGAAATTCACGGTGATCAGATCCAATTGTTCTTGGATTATGCACGATCGAGCCTTGTCAGGCCTCGCTAGGCCCACCCAGAGGCCGGCTTTGTTGTCCTGTGAAGCTGAAAGGCCGAAGCTGGCTTCCCATCCAATGTCTTCCGTAGCGTGTCCCAAGTCCTCGTACACGGGTACTCGTATATCTTCATGATAACCCTCGATTGGCTCGCGAAGCGTCTTTTCAAAGAGCTGACATGGCACAAACAAACGTGACTCGTGTCTGTGCTGTATCGTGCGGTGCTGCTCGCCCACTCTTGTGCAGGTGACACACATCACTCCTCCACCCTGTCCTGCAGTCAACCTTTCAATTAAGGACCTGATAAGAAAGGGGATCAGCATACCTAGGAGGAATGTGACTTGGTGTCGAGTCTGTCCCAGCGGCGCGGCAGCGCGCAGGAAGTAAAATGAGCTCGAATCGACCTGGGACGACGGGTTGTGTCTACCAGTCACTCGTATTTGCCACAAACATCTCACCTGGAGAAGCCGTCTATCCATCCGCCCACACTCTTCACTGTGTCTGCGCTTTGCATGGTGGTAGGCTCTCACGGCATCGGGAGTCCCTAAAAGGCGTCTCTGTGGTCCTGGCCAGAGCTGGTCGATGGGTCACGTTCGACGGTTCTGTATCTTCGGTATTGCGGCAGTTCTGAATATTACCTTACCTCTTGAATACCTTTGGGTCGGTGGCCGACTCCTTTCACCACGGCGCAGGTTCCTCTGCAGGCCAGTTGGTCTTGGCCATGGTGTTGAGTGGAAGGAGCGAGTGAGCGAGTGCCAGCGCATGCCAGCTTTACATTAGCCTTGGCGCTGGTTCGGGCATCATTGTCATGCTCTTCCACCACTCCAAGTGCCTCGTTTCTTACCGCCTCATTCCCATCTGCTGCATCCTGCTTCATCCTGCACCTACGCTGTCGGCACTCTTCCCATTGACCCATTTGCGTTGGAAATGAGGCAACCTCGCGTGGGTTCGGGTCCAAAAGCCAGCATCGCCCCGAACCGCTAGTTGCTCCCATTTTGGGTATCAACTGAGCAGTAATAACAATTTACTGACGCAGTTATGACTGCTCTTGATATCGACACAACCACTTGAAATCGACAAGGCGGAGCCTCGAAGGGGTTGCTAGAAGATTCTGAGTCCTGCGATGCCTCAGAATTGCGCTGACCCTGGCGCGCCCAAGGCTGTGTTGGGTTGCAGGATGACTTTGCCAGTTGCAACTTGGTGTACAATTCGCGCAGACACGATGCAGCCCCAAAACTCGATGACTTCACCATGAAGGATGAGTAAAAATTTCTCGGATCTCACCTGGGACTCACGCAAACTGTGCCACTATTAGGAACTCCCTGGAAAATGGGAACTCATGCATACCTAGTGGCTTTCGCTAAATCTTGCATGTGGTAGAGCCTTGGTGTGAAAGGGACTATCGAGGCTCAAGATCACCACCATCCTTGTCTCCTGGACAACAGGCGAAGGGCATGTCGCCTTTTCCGACCATCATGAATCAGCCTTGATCACATCTTCCTCACAAAATGGGCCCTCGTTGGACTATACGCTACGAGCGTCCTCTACTTCACCAGCAACCCCGGTCCTCAACTTTGCCTAGCGCGCCAACAGAGTAGCGGTGGAATGCTTCGACCGGCCTCTCGAGGATCTCCCCGAAGATCAATAACTTTTGGTGTCAACACTCTGCCAATAAGCAAACAGGGAAAATTGTCAAAGCATGTCCCCCGAATACGATGCAGCACGGCGCGGATTCACCGACTCTTACGTCTCCTCTTTCCCACCGATCGTCTGCCTTCGCAGCATCAACGAGGGTAAAGAAATCAGTGCCGACGTCCCTAGATCCTCAGTCTTGCATGGGTTCATGACTCGTGTTGAAGAGCAGCTCGGTGAGGCAAACGCCAGCATCAGCACTACAAAGTCGTGATGAGAGTTGGAGAGAGGAATTTTCAATACTGCGGTGCTTTTCGGTGGCTAAGCTTGAACAAGACTCATGTGTGCACTTGTGTATACACTTTGTCAAGCCGCAATTGTGTGACCACGACTTGAGGAGTTGTAGCCATGAACTGGCACTGCACGTCTTGCCGTCGCGGGGGTTGTCAACAGCTACACACAAGGAAAGAATGTCCATAATTATATATAGATACGTCTATATCTATACATCGTACACCTTCAGGAACAACGTCTCTTTCCTATATCCAATCATAACAGAATCTTTGGAAGAATATTGTTCACCTGCCATAGCAAGGATTTTACCTAGAATATATTCCCCAAATTATTCGGTACGCAAGAGACGAAGTTATATGGTCCTCATTTTTGCCTTTACCAACTGTACACACCATGAGATTTGAGGACCTTAAGGGCACGGTGATGGACGGCATTAGCCACGTGCTACGTAAAGAGCAACCGTTGAAAACCCTTGTTTACAATGATCTGCCTCCTTTCAGCTCTGCTTCCTCATGTATACGCTTTCCAGACATTGCATCTCCCTCTATATAGGTGCAAAGTCTGAAGATGGTGTACGATGTAGCCATCATCGGCGCAGGGCCTTGCGGACTGGCTGTGGCGGCGCGGTTGCGCGAAGCGACTCCCTCGGCCCTCTTCACCAACGACGAGCATGCTCGGTATTGGAGGAGGTTCAATCGGCGTGAGACGATCGAAAACGAACAACGCATGTCCCAGAACAAAGCCGCCGTATCGGACCGGAGGAGTGACAGGTCAACTGTTCCGGCCAGATCGATGATTGTGCTAGACGCGCATTCTGACGAGTGGATGTCCGCGTGGCAGGAGAGGTTCCGCAGGCTGCAGATCGACCATCTTCGCAGTCCGCTGTTCTTCCACCCGGACCCGAGGGATAGAGATTCGCTCTTGGCCTTCTCCCACCTCCACTGCCGCACTGACGAGTTGCAAGAAATCCCCAACGTGGCTGGCAAAGAGATTAGCAAGCATCGAATAAAGAAGAAGCGGCAGAAGTGAGTTTGTACCATAAGAAAACTTGTTGGGACAGAATTGTGAGGAGCTCACATGTCTATAGAAGAATCGCACAGCACCTCCGGATCGATGACCGAGACCGGATAGATTACTTTACCCCCTCGACAGCGCTCTTCAATGATTTCTGCAGCGATATCGTGGATAGATATCGGCTTCGGAACCTCGTGGTACGAGCAAAGGTTGAGGATGTCGAGTACGGCGATCTCGGCGGCTTGACTAACGCAGAAGGATTTACCTTGACCACGGACCAAGGAGCGATCTTCTCCCGAATCGTCGTTGTCGCTGTCGGTCCTGGCAGTAAGCCTTGCATTCCCCTCGACAGCAACCTTCAGCTGAGCACGGACGTTGGAAGCGTTTGCCACTGCTTCGACCCAGCAAGTGGACACTATCTTCCAGAGCATCTTCTGAAAAAAATTGATCAAGGGTTACCAACCTCGGTCGTGGTGGTTGGTGGTGGACTGACAAGCGCTCAAATTGCAGACCTACTGATTTGTTGTGGCGTAAACAAGGTATGGCTGTTGCTCAGGGGAGATTATAAGTTGAAGCATTTCGATGTCGACCTGGAATGGGTGTCCAAAGTGCGCAACCAGCAAATGTCGGTGTTCTGGTCGGCAGATAGTGATCAGGGTAAGTTGTCATCAGAGCAAGAATACCGGCCACTGACGGTCCGACAGAGCGCTTCGAGTTGCTCAAAGATGCTCGAAACGGCGGCAGCATAACACCCAAATTTGACAGGATTCTCAAAAGGCACGTCTTAAACAGTCGCCTAGCCATCCTGACGCACACTCGTATCAAGGACGGATTGTGGTGCGCAGGAAGCCGGACATGGTCCATCACATTGTCCTCGGAGCCAGAGAACGACCCTCTGTGCGTCGATCACATCATATATGCTACCGGAGCGGCTCCGAACGTCGAGAGAGTGCCCTGTCTGCAGCACATGCTGAATAAATATCCTGTTGAGTCCATCAATGGGTTACCTACTCTTAGCAATGACTTGATGTGGCGCGACGACATCCCGTTATTCTTGACTGGTGGTCTTGCAGGGTTGAGGCTTGGTCCCGGCGCTGCCAATCTAGCCGGGGCACGACAAGGAGCTGAAAGGATTGCTTGGAAAATCGAGGACTTGCTGGGTAAAGAGCAGACACCGTCGCCGGACGAACGAGTCTCAGCCGTGGCCGGCCTAGGTGTGAGGCAACCTGGGAAGGGGGAGATGAGGATGATGGCTGAGGAGAGGAGTGAGTTTACAGGAGGCTTTGCCAATCAATTTGAGGCATTGACGATCCATGAAGGCAGCTGATGCGAGATTAGTCAAGCGTTGATAGCTTTCCATGTGGATGCCAGTGTTTGTAAGGAACATTTAGAGAAGTGTGAAGGTCAATGTATGTACTGTGCGTACCGAGTACTTGGTACATAGTGGGATAGTGTCGGTCATGCACAAAATACAAGCCAATCTGCACTAGCCCAATTTACTTAGTTGAAGAGCTGCTTTAAAGATTTCTGATCCAACCAGACATGGAATTTGCTGTCTTGGCAATGATGTTCCACTTGTACAAGTCCTACCCCTCGAAGGCGGTGTGAGCACTTTCACTCACAGCACTCGGACCTGTATGAGACTTCATATTTCAACACGGTACGGGATAGGCACACAGATGTAACAGAAACCCCAACAAATGTCCTCAACGAACCGCAAATAGAGAGGTCCACGAGGCTTTGGCTTGCCAGCAGACCCCTGCAAGAATAGAATTGCACATGGGGTTGGCCCAACTCAAACCCCGGACGGCAATTTCGTGCCCCGGTCGCACCACGTTTGGCACCGGCGCTGACAGCCTGATGGCACCGACGGCGCATGGACCATGGGATTGATGAGGCCTCGAGGCTGTAGCGGGGCCTTGCGGCTTACATTGGGCGTTTGCAAACCAGACGCCAGGTGTTTCGAAGATTGACCCAAGACATTTGTGGCTGCACCAATATGGAAAGTTGGGGTACGAAAATAGCGGGAAGCAAACAACAAAGACTCTTGGAGGGTGGACAAATGGCCGTCGCCATGGTGCATGTCTGGCTTCCTCGTAGGTAATCGATCCCACGAAAAAGATGAGTGTCTCTCGCTGGCCTTGCTCGTACCTACAAACAAGTGGAACGCGGCGCAGTTGATTTCCGTCCTCCCTTATGTTGTACTCGTACTTGTACAAGTACAAGCTAGACATTAGCCGAAATCCTGGGTGCGGGTAGCGTACCAAGAAGTGGATTGTGTCTGAGAACCCCGTCTTTGTCGAGTGGACCACGCACCACACGGGCTCGACGGCCCTGAGAGCCGGCGGGGCGTGCTAGAGGAAGACCAGATCGCGAAAAGGACATCCACCACACTTCCTGGAAGCTATGCTCCTCCGAAATTACTCGTACACAATGGGCCTCGAATAACATGGTGATGGTGGCGAGGACAGGGTTTCATTCAGTCCGACGTTTGTCCTTCGCAATAATGGCTGACTTTATTTTTCCCTCTTCTCGATGACATTCGAATATGAGGATGCTCGCGGGAAGAAGGCTCTCCCAGAGGACGGAATATAGCCTTGTACGAGAGAGGTGCCAGCGAGCCTAGGGCAGATTCCACCAATGCTTGTCTTGTGGTGTGACTTGTCCAGTCTCCAATCTTAGTGGTGGAGGACTTGGGCAGCCCTGTCGGATTTGTTGTCTGCAAGATAACAGCGTCACACCCAGTGAGGTTTTGTGCTGTTCCCTTGGTCTAGCCGAGGATGTCAGAGGGCTAATCGGTTGAGAATATCAAGGGCGAGTAGAGCGTACAGCGCGCACAAGGAAGACTGGCTCAATGGGTAATAATGGCATCATGACTTTGGTGGTGAGGAGATTTTGACCTACAATCTCCCCGCCCCCGGCAGTCTTTCCCTTCCTGTCAGCTGCGATACAACTGCCGACTGGCTGAAATCTGGCTTGGGGGCACTTGGGGGGCCGTGGACCGTCTATCAATACTTTCGCCAGGGCGGCCGCAAGGGCGATAGGGACCTGCGGGGAGGCACCTCAGAGGGGTATAGTAGCCTGCTAGGGGTGGGCACAAGGGCACCTTGATTGGCCTCGGAGTCAAGTCCACCACCCACTCCCGCAGCCATCTCGCCATCTCCTCTCCAGTGCTCTCAATTGTCAATCCATCTTCCACGCATTCGACGCCTTCGATTCTATGCCGCCGTTATCCTTCTCTGCATTGTAGATCTCTTCTGGGTGCATACACCTATGCCATATGGGGGTCCGGCTGCCGTTAGATTCATGATCACTTCCGCTGGTTCTTGTTTCCTGTTCCTTTCCTCGCTACTTTCGCTCCAATCTCACATATTCCCATCATCGCATGACCTGACCGATATATTCTCCGGAATGCGGATCTTAGAGAATTCGCCCACTATTCGAACGAGGTTGAACTGAAGAACTCAAGCCTGTGCATGACGTCCTTACATCCTTCCGTTCCTGCTGCTTGTCCCCCCAATTGCCAGCTTACACGTCGAGACTGCAACCACTGTTGATGGTCATGTCAAGCTCTCAGTTCGCCACACCACAGGATGTTGCGCCAGCACCGGCAGACAACGAAACTGTGGTTGCCCCACGGAAGAGGAGGAAACGCGCACCTGCTGCTGGTGCGGCTGTGGACTGCTTCACCTGTACAAGTCGGAGTGTTCAATGCGACCGACGGAGACCGTACTGCTCCCGATGCTTGGACGATGGCAAGGACTGTGCTGGCTACAAAACTCAATTGACCTGGGGCAATGGAGTAGCAAGCAGAGGCAAGCTTCGAGGCCTTTCACTACCCATTGCTGGCACTCAGAAGCTGTCCGCATCCAATTCACCACCCAGACCGAAGAAGAGGACATTACCACCACCATCTTCTCGCGTACCTCAGTTGCAACACATTCTCAATGCTTCCCCGGATGCTCGCCCCACCATCTCCTCGGAAGTGCAATCCCCAGAATCAGCCACCAACGGCAACGTAGACTTCCACTTTGGTCTATCTCATCCGCCTCCAATTACGCCCTCTTATGCCACGGCTACTAGTCCATGGAGCCCTCCACCAGAAGTGCCCGGAGTCAAAATAGCGCCGAGAATCTCTCCGTATACGGCTGCGTCTTGGACACCGTCTGTTGTCCACGGAGCACCTGTTGGTGATGGTCTTCGACGGCCCAGTGCTGTATACAGCGGGAGCGATCGAGTGTCGCCGATGTCACACTCTCCACCGTCGCCCGAATCAGCATACTTTGGACGAGTCTTGAACCACGACTCAATGGGTGTGCCGGCTACTTTGCCTCCTTATACCGAGTCACCTCGAGTCACATCCCCATTTGGTGGGTCGTTTCCTGAGCAGGGGCAGTTTTCCATTTACCAGAGACAGGACGACCGTCTTTTCAGCCACGAACCAGATGTTTCGGCACTCCTACCACAAGGAATGGAACAAGCCCTTGCCCAGAGCATTGACGATGCTGTTGACGGTGAGGTTGAAGAAGTACGTCGAGTCGCGTATGAAAACGAATGTGCCATTGTGGAAGATGACTCTACGGTTGGCTTTCCTCGGTGGTCGCTGCACGACTACAGCCTCTCGCTCTCACCTTTTGCAGGTATTACAGCTATTGGCGCAACCCCACGGATGCAGTATTTGATACAATACTACACTGAGGTCATCTCGCCTGTGATTGTAGCCTTTGACGGCCCTTCCAACCCGTATCGAACTCAGATTCTGCGGCTGGCGGGGAAGAGCGAAACGCTTCAACACGCAATAGCCGCATTGGCAGCAAGTAACCTGAGACAGCGGCGGGAAACTGGATTATCGACAGGCAAGACAGATCCAGCGAGGAGGTCATCCATGGCCCATCTCACCCTCACGAAAGAGGACTGGCATGAGGCAGGCTTGTTGACTCCGCAGGAGCAAGCACGTGAGGAATCCCTTCATAAAGGCATTGCTATACAATCTCTCAATATGCAACTCGCTGATCCTGTTCAACGGATGGACGATTCGATTCTGGCCACACTGCTTATTCTGTGTCTATTCCACATCTGTGATTCAGGGATTGCAAAGTTCCGCACACAATTCGCTGGTGTCAAAAAACTTCTTTCCATGCGCAAAAACGACTCAGGGTTGGATACGAGGGAGGCGAAATGGTTCACACGGATGTTCACCTGGTTTGATGCAATGACTGCCACGGTCAACGATCGCGAGGGACAGCTCCAGGGCTACCACCTGGACGTGTCCGCCCTGTCGGACGAAGAATGGGCACTGGAGAATCTTGCTGGTTGTGACGGCAATTTGTTCAAGATAATCGCCAAACTGGGTAGGCTGAATGTGTTGAGCCAAGGCAAATCAGTTGAGGAAAGTCCTGCTATTGTGTCTCGACCGGTGCCCACGATGTCTTCGGCGCTGCACTTTGACTACAGCAAATTCGACGGCAATGGATGGATGCGGATCGCTGAGGATGACGAATTGTTCTCCAGCAAAGTGACAGAACCCGATGTGAAGACGCAGTTCTGGCGAGAATGGAGGGAAATTCGACAGGCCTTGCTGGCTTGGCAGTTGGATTCGAGTCTTCGCGACTGCCCCAACCTTGGAGTGCCTTACTTGACCGATGAGCAGCGCGTCGACCTCGGGAATATATCTGAGTCCTTCAGATATTCTGCACTGTTATATACCGAGCGCTTAGCCCATCCACAAGTCCCCAGTACGGACTTGGCCATCCGTGGTTGGGTACAAGAATGTCTGAAGTACATCAAAGCTGTCAAGTCGGATGTGTACCTTCTCTGGCCCTTGTTCATTACAGGCAGCGAGTGCGTCGACGATCTTGATCGTGACGTGATTCGCCAACGATGCCTTGATATCCAGAAGGACAGTGGCTTTCTTAACAACAAGAGCTGCTTGGAGCTTTTGGAGAAGGTGTGGCGCAATTATGACGAGAAGAAGAAACCGAGTCTGTTCAGCAGCGAGTATGCGGATTCCTTTGGAGATGTGGATGACGAAACTGGCTTCAGATTTACGACTATTATGAGAATGGAGAAAAACCAGGGTGAGTATATTGTCGTCTGACCGCGACGCACAGGGTTCAGAAGAATTGAACATGTCAGAAGATCAGGTGCTATGTGAGGTAACAAATTACATTGCAGTAAAGGATCTCAGAACCTCTCTGACGAAGGAATGATGGATAATTGGTTACTGTATAGTAGGAAAAGTTTTGGGAACTTTGGTTCACGGTCGTAAATGCACGACTGAGACGGATAGTGACCACTATCTCTGAAGATGAAATCCGATCAATATTTCTCGCCATGGGATCTGAAGTGAGAGTCAATCAATGGGTCGGGAGTTGTATTCATGTAGGGCCAATACTCGGAAAATGCAAGGCTGAGTCTGGTAGCTTTTGATTGGCTGACAACGGACCGACGTAGATTTCAACAGCAGAGCCGGATGCGCCTGTTCCCTTGTGATTTCTCTTTTCCTGCCTAGACATTGTGGCATGTGTTACCACCTCCCCATTCCACCACCAGATCACAAACATGTCTAACCCCCTCTCTGGAACCTCGACACCACGCGCCTTTGCGGCGCAGTCTGCTACCGCGGAAGACCTGCTGAAGTCGCAAACTGTCGGCCTAGTGAACCTCGCGGATTTCCGCAAGAGGCGGGCAGATGTGTTGGAACTGAAAGAGAAAGAGGCGAGAGAGGCAGCAGGGTCCAGGACGAGGACGCCCGAAAGTGACGGGTGAGTTAAATAGTTGGTTGCCGTTCTCGAGGCACGGCAACAGGCCTCCCACCCTGCCTTGTTTCGTGTGGTTCATGGTTTCTTTCCTCTCAAGCGCTTCGAGGGCGGGGCTAATTTGCAAAGCACAGTGCAGCGGTGACACGAAAACCCGACCACGACGGACCTCCGAGTAAGAAGTTGAAGAAGAAAAAGATTGCGGGCAAAGGGCTATTATCGTTTGGAGGCGACGAAGACGAGGACGCAGAGGGCGGAAGTACCGTCTCGTCGCCCGCAGTGCGAAGTTCGAGACCGTCAACCGAACCGTCGCCTGAACCATCCTCCATCACTCGCAAACTAACGCCCAATCCCAACTCGACTCTTCCTCCTCCCCGAGCAATCACAAAAGCGGCACTGGCCGCTGAGGCTCTGGAACGAGAAAGACTGCGCAAGGAATTCCTTGAGATCCAAGATCGGGTAAAGGAGACGGAGATTGAGATCCCCTTTGTATTCTACGAGGCTGGCGCGAATGTGCCAGGTGGCAGCGTAAGAGTCAAAAAGGGTGATCATGTGTGGTTGTTCTTGGATAGGTGTAGAAAGGTGGGAGCTCAACTCGGCGTCTCTGGTTCTGGCTCAGGATCTGCCGGCGGTGGGAGCAGTGCCATGCAGAAGAGGCGCAGGGAGGACTCGAGGAAACAGTGGGCACGTGTGGGTGTCGATGACTTGATGCTCGTGCGAGGCGAAGTCATCATCCCCCATCACTATGAGTTCTACTATTTTATTGCGAACAAGATCCCCGATCCGAGTAGGGAAGGGAAGCTGCTGTTCGAGTACTCTGGGACAGCGGATGTCAGAAAGACTAACCCAGGCGGACAAGACATCGAGACCAATGCTCTGTTACGGGTGCCTGGAAAGACGCAAGAGGTGCTGGAAGGGCATAATGACGACCCAACGCGGACTAAAGTGGTGGATCGAAGGTGGTATGAGAGGAACAAGCACATCTATCCCGCGATTGTATGGAAGGAGTTCAAGGCTGGGAAGGAGTTTGAGGAGATCGCAAAGGGGGGCAGAAGGGATGCCCAAGGCAATGCTTTTTTCTTTGGTTGATTTGGACCTGATAACCACTGATGAATCGAAGCAATTTTACCCATTAATGGAATTCCAGGATGCGCATCTCATGGAAGATGGAGTGGTGCTTTGCAAGGACACGGGGGCAAGTGCAGACAAGACTGAACCTGATCGTCATTGCTCAATTGGCGCAGACGTGGCAGCGGCTGACATCGCGGCAGCCCGTGTCTTTCGCCCATAGCTATACACACTGCGATATCTCCACTGCTCATCTAACTACTCTCCGTTCAGCCATTCACCATACTTCGTCTCCTTGACACAGAGCAATGGAGCAGCACTTGCGGTGCAACAATCAGCAGGGGGGCAGTTGTCGAGCTGCACTCACGGCGGAGGCAATTGTTACAACTTGCGCGCATGTTCCCCCTACAGTCATTCTGCTTCTCTCCGTCGTTCTAATCCGTCTCAGGCACATCTTTTGCATACCCTGCGCTGAAAAGACTGGCTTGTCGACAGCACCCCGGCATCAGCGTCGATGTCCTGTTTGCAAGACCGCCCTACCAAATGCCCACGATGCAGTCCGCAATCTGCTAAATCCACCCGAAGACTTCAAGACCAGCGTCCTTTGTGGCCTCGACCCCGCAACCATCATGGAGTGTGCCCAGACGGCGCTTTCTTTTTGGACATACCAAAAGGCTCAGGAACTGTGACGTTTAATGCTTCGTCTGCTAAGTGACCTTTCTGACGAGAGTGACAGTGCATATCAGCAACATATTGCTAGAAACCTGACGCACGGGCTCCATCAACTCAATGCAGAGGTCGAAAAGACTGTTAATGATGGCAATTCTCGAATCCAAGCTCTGGAGACACAGAATCAGCGTACGAAACTCTAGATATATCCACCGGCGAAGAGTCCGCTAATCAGGGCACAGAACTCTCTACCGATGTACAATCATTGCAACAAAAGTATACGCAACTTTACGACCAGTTTCAAGAGAAGAGCAGGAAGCAAGCACAGACCCAGAAGCTCTACGACACTCTGAAGCAGAAAGTCATGCTGGAGAAGATGGAGCCACTCGCTAAGAACGACGTAACTCAGACATTACACTCCTTCTCTGCCTTGCCGCAAATTGAGGGGGTGCCGTCGGTCGTTGACTTGGGACAAGCCTTTCGCCCACAAGACCCTCCCCAGACAGCAGAAAGGCCAGCTCCCAGACATGGACGCTTTCAAGAAGGTCACGAACGACTTCATCCACATCAGCGGTCCGGGAGCAGTGTTAGTGGCAGCGAAAAGAGGGGCATGTTGCCGCTGGAGAGGCCGCGGATATTGAGGATCCGTAGGTGGTCGGAACCCACCATACTGCTGGTGCTAACCCGCGGCAGCAAACGTGCTGGCTACTTCAGGAACCCCTTTGCAACGGACAGCCTTGCCAAACCAGCCTAGTTTGGGTGTCAATTACTCCGGTTTTCCAACAACAGCCTCACGTTCTCAGCTTTCAGCAGGTGCTCATCATCTGCCAGGATCAGCATCTCATCGCCAGCAACGCCTGAGCAAAGTCGTCAATCCAGCCCAAAGCTACAGTGCTATCAGTTCAGGCATGAAAGTCGGTAGAGCGGGGACGTCTGGGTCAATAGACTTGGGTCCAAGGTTCAATCAATACGCTGGTATGTCTAATTTCCCTGCTGTACGCTCGAAACTGACTCCCCATGGACAAAATCATACATTCAGCGCGGCAGAGTGTGGATCATGCGACCCCGACTGCACCATATTCAGCTGGTTGTTGAGTTGACACAAGCGACGAGGTGTTCTGACCGGAAAAGAAATTCATACTAAGTTGCCTCGACAGCAGATATAGGCCATCCTCTTCACGAAGTTGGTAGTTTTTGCTCCTCTATCTCATCTCATCCCGGTCCCTCAATTACTTTTCTCCTGAGTCACTCAACTCGTATTAAGTGCCACTCAATGGTCTCAGCAGTTGTCCAAAAGAATATATCCGTTGACCTTTTGTCAACTGCACCTTTACCAATCATTTCAGTAAGAGGCAAGGTCCAATTTGCCAGAATATTATACCCGGCGATTGAAAGTAGCGACCGAAAGCTTTACACCCGATCCGAGGCTATCTTCATCTTGCTTGAGCCATCAGATTACATTTGCCGTCGACCCGATTCGTCTCGGTACAGTAAGCGACGAGGCTGTCAAAAGAAGTAGAGTCAGTATGGATGGCAGACCTTCTAACCAATCGGTCTCATCTGGAACCAAAGGTATGGTGTTGGAGTTGAAAACATTACAGAAGCCAAGGCAGAGTGGCCTTCAGATCATTTCAACAATCCGATCCTGTTGTCGTCGCTCGTCCAGAACTTTGATAGGAAAGACTATCACTGGCTTGCGGAACTTGCAGCTACCATTCCTGGTATCAAACCATGGCCCAAGTGGGAGCCATTGAGTCAACCTTTGCCATTTGGCACCCTACCATTCAGCGTCAAGGACTTGCGAGTTAGATGCCAGAATTCGCTACCAGATATGCCACTACTTATGGCGGTAAAATCGACTCATGTCGTACACAGTGAGGGCGGATGTGAAGAACCCGAAGGTGCACTGAGCGGGAAAGGATGTGGCTTGCCGGAGCGAGATCAAGGACTTCTACCGAAATCTAACATACACCGTGAAGAGCCTTTGGAGAGGCCTTTGGAATTCTTCGAATGTATTGGCCACAGGCTGAAAATCCTAGACCCCCCCCCCCCCCCTGTCTGGTATTGAGGAATGCCTGCTCCAGCTGCAGCTTGTGATGGAGATATCTTCGCTTTCGACCGACTCGATACGAGCTGCAGTACGGCTGCTACAGAATGACGGACCACAGCCAGTATTGGTGGATTTGCACGGGTTACACGGTTCTGAGTTTATGGTCTGCTCGAAATGCGCTCTCGATGTCTACCTCTCACTGAGCGTTTGCCTATGGGATCATGCTCGGATCATTCCACTCTGTCGAGAGTGCTCCGAGAATCCCTCCCGAGAGCTTTATAACTTCGAGGCGCAGGGCATGCCATCCATTGCGGAAAATATACGAGGCTTGAGGAATATCGATAACTATCTTGAATGTGACTGTCACGAGGTTCTATCGCCCGACAATGGTTATCACCTCTGCACATTTTGTGCCGCCATGTTCCATGTGCTGGTGTACCTGCAGCACCGGCTAAACAAAGCCTCGGGCATCTATCCGGACAGTGTTCCTTACCAAGTTCTAGAGATGGGCAACACCAGGAGCGGGTATGGTCGCAACTATTGCCCCTGTGGAAAGGACCGGCATCAGCTTGTCGGGAGCTGGTGTGGTATTTCTCAGGAGGAACGGGACAACAGAATGTACCGTCTCTGCACGTTATGTACGGGGCATATTCCACGTGGGAAAATGATGATTCCACAATCGACCAATTGTCTCTGATGAGCGAGGGTGGGTGTTTGTGCTCAAGGATGCACAGAGGGACAGAAGTCAGAGAGGCTGATGCTGGTGCGGGCGGCAATGGAGAGCTTCGGAGGTCTAGCTACAAGTTTCTGAGAAGTCCAACACAGCATCGTTGCTTAGGTACCTACAAAGAGACGAGGCTGGACAAGACAAGACAGGTGCGCTTCATGAACAGGGCGGCAGGGCAACAAGACAAGGCCATGAGAGCCGAGGACAGCAACACCTTGGTATATGGCTTGATGGCTTCAGAGAAATTGAAGCATTGAAATTGTGTCCGACGATGGTCTCTTTCCTTTCTCTCAAACTCTGTCCATCGTTTCCTTATGCTCTAGAACAACATATTTTCTCCGACATGGTCCTCTGTCCCCTTTCCGAAATACTAGAGTAGAACAACCCGTCGGTCTTGATGTGGTTCCTTCTTGCTTTTTGCCTCGGTCAAGTCTCACTTCCCAGTCTTGGTCTTAGTCACAGTTCCAGTCCAGTCCCAGCCCCAGTGCAATCACTGTCCACCTCGAAATGAGATAGAGACGTCATATATACTTTCACTCAATAACTACGCTCGCCCTCGCCCTGGCCCTCGCCCTGGCCCTCGCCCTGGCCTTCGTAGTAAATGCTTTCGATATGATATGTGGGGGACATGGTCATGGTCACGGTCACGGTCCAGGTTGTGTTGGAGGGAGATCAGGAGACGTAACTGATCGGCCCCTTGAGCTTGTTCCGCGGATCGTGCAGTTTCTTCAGCGCGAGCAGTTTGGGGAGATGTTCGGCGTAGACCTAGGAAAGTGAAACCCGGTTACACGGAAAGAAAGGTTAATCACAAGTGCTCTGGAGCTCGGTAGGCGAGTAGTTTAGTACTCCAGGGGGAAAAGAGGGACAGGGGGGGATAAGTGAAAACTCAAGAAATGGGGTGTCGAGGAGAGTGGCGTCGTGCTGTTCAGCGGGGGATTCTCCTTCTCTTTTTCCCTTTTTCCCCCCCTTCTCTTGGAGAGGTTCAGGATATTCAGGAAGAGAGAGAATATGTG